AAATCGCTACTCTGCTATGATTAACAGAGGTTCGTGGAAGAGAGAAAGATAAGAATTCACTAGTCGATTTGCTCTTGATCAAGTAGTCAACAACAAGTCCTCCCCATAATCTCGATAGTAGGATGGGAAGATTGGCAAGACAACTCTTCTCGATTAGCTTTAATATAAGGTGAACACCCATTTTGATAAAAAATATGGGTGTGTGTTTCTGAGCCTTTCGATGAGCTTAAGATTGCAAAAGCAATCATTGAATCTCTCACAAGTAGTCCATCTCATTAGTTGGATTGAAACTGTATGCAAAATATAAGTCAACAAATTGAAGGAAAGAAGTTTCTTCTTTTTAGATGATGTAGGACTGAAAATTTTGAAAATGGGAAAATTAAACGTACTCTCAAGTGTGATCTCTAGAAAGTAGATTTTTAGTGACCACACGTAAGGGAGTTTGCAAATGCCATAGGACCAACCAACACAATCTTACTAGGAATATACCGAGGAGGAATGTTGGTCCTTGTTTTGTCAACTTGCATTTTTGGGAAAACCTAATGAAGAGTTTGAAGAAATTGGTAAAAAATTATTAAAAAGTGTAAGGCTTGCCTCTTGCTGTAAAGGCTTTAGTAGTCTTTGCGTTTTAAGAGAATTTGAAGAATGGGAAAATGTCTTAGAGAGTGAAATTGGGAATTGAAGAGGTAGACAAGAGGTTTTTCACCTCTACTATTAAGTTACTATGACTTACCCCTACTTTGAAAAAATGTTTCGCATATTGTGCTATGTTTCCAAAGGATTATGAGATAGAGAAAGAACAATTGATTAAGTTATGGATGGCACAAGGTTATTTAAAGTCAAAAAACTCAAAAAGGTATGGAGTTAGTTGGTGAAGAGTATTTCAAATCTTTGGCAATGCTTTCTTTCTTTCAAGATTTTGAAAAAAGGGAACATGAATTTGATATACTTCTTGTAAAGTGCATGATATAGTGCATGATTTTGCTCAATTCTTACCCAATATGTTATACAATAGAGGTTGGTAGTAGAGAAGAAATTGAATTGAATCTTCTTGATAAAGTTAGACATTCAATGATAAAGATTCAAGGAGGGGCTCATTTCCTAGCTCTATTTATACTAGAAATACTTTTCTACGTAGTCTTGTGGTTGATTGTAATTATGTACTGACCCCAAGATAGTTTGTCCAAATAGTTGATCAATTTACATGTCTAAGGTCATTATCTTTGAATAGTGCTCAATTGAAGAAGTTCCTGTAGAATAAAAAATTAATACACTTGAGATACCTTGATTTATCTTGGAATAGAAACATAAAAGAATACCTGAGACATTATGTGGTTTATATAATTTACAAACCTTAGACATAATTGGATGTGAAATATCAGAAAACTGCCTCAAGGGATTGGAAACTTAATCAACTTAGCCATTTGTTAAATAGGGGGACTGATGTATAAGTTACATGCCAAAGTTTGGAGAGATTAACTAGTCTTCGAACATTAAATATTTGTTATAAGTGGGCAGTTATGGTGGTGAAGAATGTTATGTTGATGTCTAAAAAACTTCAAACATCTTCGAAAATTTGAATAAAGGGTTGGGAAATTGGAGACGTGGATGGGTTAAGGGAATAGAATTAAACAATAAGAAAAACTTGCGTTTTCGAGGGTAACTTTACAGGAAGGATGAATGACAAAATCAACAACTTCTTGATGAGTTGCAACCACATCCAAATTTAGAGACATTAGCGCTAGTAATTATAGTGGCAAAACTATTTTCCTCTATGGATGATGTCATTGACCAAATTGAGAAGGTTACCTAGGGATTGTGTAACACTGTGAGCATCTGCCTCCTTTGGGTAAGTTATCATCTCTTGAAATTCTTTTAATATAGAATGAAGAGCGTGAAAGAGGGGGTAATGAGTTTTTGGGAATAGATAGTGATCCATGTCATCATCTTCATCAATTATTCGTTTCCAAAACTGACATTTCTAAGTTTCTGGTTCATGAAGAATGGGATGAGTGGAATTACGGGAGTACAAAGAGCGACATGAAGATATTCCAGTCATGCCATCTCTTAAGACCTTGCAACTTCAATTCTGCTACAAATTGATTCTCTACCAACCCCTTCAGATGACAATGTTGAAGAAGGAAATAGGTTATTGTCCTCTTCTCCAAAGACAGAGAACCATGCTAATCGTCATCTTCCTTTGATTAAGTTTCTTGAAATTATCAGCTTCAACACTGATTTTCCTTCAAAACACGGTAATTTCCTCTCTTTTCCCTTTTAATAATTTGTTTTGAATTAGAAATTAGTGGTTCTTATGTTCCCGAAACAACTTGAGTGATTGATAACTCATCATCATCTCCTCCAGTTTTAACCAACACCTCTCAGTTTTAACTTCAACTTTGATTCTGCAAAGGGACATCCTTTGAATTCTCAATATGCTACAATCGTGATCAATCCACAGGCAATTCCTCTCCTTACAGGTAAAACCTTCATTTTGACTACATCTCCAAGTCTTAGCTTCAATTTTTCTGAAGTATTCGGTCCATTATGCTCCTCAATTTATTGATTATTATCAAACCAAGTTATTGCTCTCCAAGTGAAAGATTCTTTTGTGCTTTCTCTGACTAAAATTGACCAGTTTTTAACATCCCCTGCACTTAGTATGGAAATTTTAACTTCATAATCTGGTCTAACATCCTATTTTCAAGAGAATTTTGATCATTATTACTTCATTTTCATTAATGTGAATTTGTGTTGTTCTTTTAAGGTGACACATGCTAAAGTTTTTTTTTTTTTTCAAGCTACAGACCGAAATCCTGCACTGGAGACATCTTGTGAAAGAATGCTGAATATTCGGCACCATTGCAGTTTTAAGTAATTGTTATGTTTTGTTGTTGGATCTGAATTGGACTAGGTAATAAGGCGATAGGATTCTTATATAATCTTGAATCTGGACCATTTATCATCTCTTTTTTGTCTATATCAGCATCACTTTCTACCAGAAATCAAACCATTTCTCTATACACATCCTAGTTTCTTTTCATCTGTCAGTGCGGCATTTTTTCTCTTCAACTTCTTGTTGTGGAATGCAAACTAACAGTTTTTGCATTTTTTATAAGCATTTTTATAGTATTCTAATTACCATCGTACATGGCTTTTTTAGCTTGATTATGGATGTCAGCTCATGTTTTTGATGCTGGAACCTAAGCTACAGCAGAAGGTGCCATTCATGATTCACCAAAATAGCTTTCTCCAAGCAGTTACATGCACAAAACTATACATGATTTCAGAAATTGCTGTTAGAGATTTGGAATCTTTAAAAACATGCTATGAACTAGCAGCACTAGATTGAAATTTAATTCCAAGCAGCATTCTTCTTTCATTAATAAATATCGTTTGCTCAAAAACTTTTCCAAATCTTTTCCATACAACTACCTTGAAAGAAAAGTTAAGTATTATTAACAGCATATGACAGTTTTTTTCTTCATGGTGTTTTCATTATTCCTTTGGGAATTATCTCATGATACGTTATGTTTTCAGACTCATGCAAGCAGATGTGACAAAGCTCCATTAACTCTCTATGCATGGTTTCTTTAGTGACTCTTTATTATGTGATGTGTAAGAAATTGGCTAATGGTATTTAACTCCTCCTTTCCCAGTAATAGAATTCTTTTATGCTAATGATGGTTTGTTCCAAATTCTTTTGGTTATTAAGTTATTGGATGACTTTTTTCCTATAATTGAAATCTTTTTGACATCTCACACTTGATGCAGTAAAGCAAGTTCAACATGTATGATTTTCTTCAAAAGTCAATGTCAAGCAATGGTGTACCACACAAACTTGTAGAATTAGCTCCGTTTCCTTTCGTCTACACAACGCGTCTGCCCAACAGGTACTTTCTTCTTCAGTTTGTTTCGGTGACAGGATGCTCTTGAAAATTAACTATTCAGTTTGACCACAATTGAGTTGTATGTCATCAAGAGTTTGATGTATAGTAAAGATAGATAACAATTACATTTCAAAGAGAAAACAAGGCATTAGCATTAGTTTGTGGTGATTAATTTTGCTGAAGGGGATCATTAACTCACAGATATTGCTTAAATTGTGTCATGAAACTGAGAAGTGGTTGAATAGAGTTTTGGCGTGCATTAAAGGACCGTCAATGACTTCCTGTATGTTTAGGTATTTCATCTTTCAATTGTGCTCATAGTCAAAGACAGTCAATTCTGCTTTGACATACTCTGAGAAATATCTGTGCTTGAGATATTCATACTCGGGTTTTGTTATTTATGTGAATTGCGGTCTGATGTTACAGTCTAGCAGACCATGGAGTCCAAAAGCATGAATGAGATGTAGGATTGCAAGCGGTAATAGAGTTAAAGCAGTTAGTTATTATTTGTAATTCCTAGTAGAGAAATTTTTGAATGAAATATCTATTGCTCATTGGAATAGAAACATATTTAAAATTTTTGGATTAATCATCTTCTTTCTAGTTTTTGACTGATTAACATATTGGGCCTTTTGTGGATGGAACCAAGGTATTATTCAATTAAGCATCTCAGCCTAGAATTTCAATGTTGTATGAAGAAACCTATGAATGATTATTTGGCAGAACCCTTTTGCTAGGTACTTCGTTTTCAATGTTGTACTACGTATTGATGAATAATGATCTTGATCTTCTTTTTATGAAATTACTGTTATATATGACAATAAACTTGCTCCATAGTTTTATTAGTTAAGTCATTTTCTTCTTTTCTTGTAAAAAATGAAGCTTTTAGTCCTTTGTTTGAAAGTAGAAATCCATTTCATGTCTGCTTCTGTAGACATATTTCAGATCATGTTTCCAAAGTAGCAAAAACTGTGTTGCTTAAAATGATATTATGATTCTTCTGTCATGGTAATTGTTAATCTCCTTCTAAAGTTATGTCATGTTATTATGAACACAAGGTATCTTCTGAAGGGACATATACCATATGGCAACAAGATGTGACAAGTCTCCTTTCTTCAGTCTGAAGCAACATTTAGTACATAGACACGAACTGCGCTCAGTCAAATTGAATGCTTATTTTTCAGTAAGTTATTTTAGCAATGCGAACCCCTTTATTTTATCAAATCTCTCATCACTCTGTTTTCTGGGAACTTCTCAAACAGCACTACTGCATAGATAGGTACCTGTCTTGCAATGATATAAATCCAGAGTGTTGGTAAAGCTGGTAGATGGAGAGTCAAACGGGATGAAAGTTACGATTTATAGCTGGATTGGGCAGAATGTATCCTATCTCAAACTCAGCTAGCTGCTTACATAAGCTTTCCGTATCTTCCTTTGTCGTCTCTATTGGCATTCAGTGATTGAAATGTCGTATACATATTTATATATCCTTTAAGCTGTTTAAAGCAATTAGTTTCCCCTAATTACTGAATTGAAAACTTTATAACATATGGGTTGGGCTTTACTTCGTTCCCTCCCTATGTAGGTGTGAGCCCAGCATGTTAAACCCAAAATGTTTTTGCAAATTAAAACCCAACTTCTTCATCTTCTTTTTCATCATGTAGCAGCCAGAACAGAGAGAGGGAGGGTGTGTTCTGCTCCAGCTGCTGTCCCTTCTACTCCAGCAACCATTCAGATTCGAGATTGTTATTGTGGATTTGTGAGTTTATGATGTTTGTATGCCTCTAGTTGGCACTAGAGAAGACTTTGTATTTCCTTTTTGATAATAGTGAAAGATTAATGGACTACGGTCCCGTGGTTTTTACTCCTCACATCGGGGAGGTTTTCCACGTAAAAATTTGGGTGCATTGATCCTTAATTTTCCGTATATATTTGTAGCTTTGATTATATTCACTCAAGAAAGAAAAGAAATTTTTGAAAGCTAGTTTCCTCTTAGTTACGCAACAGTGAACTGGACGTTGAATTGAAATTTTCTAGCTTCTTTTGGGTTGTTAACACATTCGACAAGAATATGTGATAGAGACCAATGAAGTAATCTCAATGGGAATTTTAAGTTGAGATTGAAAGTTGAAACTTTCCATTGTTTTGATACTAGCTATAAAGCTCTTACAAATGGGTTTTTCATGGATTTTTCTCCTCAATTTTTAGAAATTCCTTCATTCATTATGATTCCATTTACTCCTCCTTACGAAGCAAAGAAGAAACAGGGGAGCTAAAAAAAAAATCATTAGATCTTCAAGAAGATATCAAAGAAAATTAATGCTCTAAAAACAACCAAATATTAATAATGCCATATTTGAATGATGAGTATTGATCAAATATTTTAATTTGATTGAATGAACAATTCCGCAACCATCTTCAGAACATTCTCCCCTGTTTATGACTCTCCCAGCAAGACCTTTCTCATAACATTCTCACCCTGTTTTTAACTTCAGCAAGACCATTTTTATAGCAGTCTCACTTTGTTTTTGACTCTCCTGGAAAATGCAATATTTTATGTTAGTGAGTTAAGATTTTTTATTTTTGATATTGATTTTGGCAGCTGCTTGGCATGGCCATAAAATTCATTTTTATATTCCATTTATGTTAGGAGCACACCACGCATCTCAATTTCTCAATCTCTGTTTGATCAATAGTCATTATTCAAATATGGCAAAAACACTTGTTTCCATAGTCTTGGATCAACTGGCTTTAATCATTCGTCAACAAGCCAAAAGAAGGGGTGAGGCTGATTTGATTACTACTAAATATTAACGGGCTTGACTCAATGGCAAAACAAAACCTTCGTTCTCTTCACTAATATTATTGTGAAGACTTTTTTTTTAGTTCAATAAAAATCAAATCTGTTTATCAAAGTTGCTTCTCTGATTGCTCAAACAAACCTGCACCATACCAGCAACTTTTCTATCGATAAACAAGTTGTTGGTATAGTGTAGGTTCATCGTACAGTGTGCTGTAAAAACCTGCAAAGTAATGATGCAGGTTCACCCTACTACCTTCGACTCATTTATCAGTATTTAAGATAATTCTATTGAATTGGATTCATTATCAACTCTATTTTCTTTAGCTTAATCTACGTACTTTTTCTAGAATTACTTCCATATCAAGTTATGGTAAAGCGAAAAAGTGTAAAGGAAAGAAAGAAGTAAAAACTTATTGTTTGAGTAAAGATCTTCTCCCAACATAAATCAATCAAAGTATTGCCTCTAATTGGCCTTCTACACTTTGCATGGATTCTTTCTTTGCCTTCATAATTCACACACACATGAATAATATAGAAATTTTGAAGGAATGACTCTTTCTCTTTCAAAATGAGTGCCATTAAGGATCAGAGTTCATCTGTGCCCCTTTTAAAGGGTTGCTTCTAATGGTTTGTCGTTTGGTAAATTTAAAAATAATACATAATTATGGCTAAAATTTAAGGCTGTTAGGAACCTATATTGAATCCATAATGTTGGTCTTATAGATGCGGGTTGATGCCTCTTTCAAAAGCAAGGCTGTTTTTTCACGGTTTGGGAGAGCATTTGTATTGAACTGAAACCTACGAGGTAGATAGCATGTTTTATGTTACTTGTACTAACATGGGTCCCTTTTTGGGTAAATTTGGACCTTGATATAACTTACTTCAAGTGTTTTTCAAACTGTGGAGATATATGCTTGCAGGCGCTTTTTGTTCCTCCCCTTAGTATTGAAGAATTAATGATCGATAAGGGCAGAGTACGCTGTGAAGCACAAGTATGATTTCAATTTTATGTTTACTTGGTTGCATGAATGATATTGTGGTTATAAGTTTTGCTTATTATAGTTATAATTTGTGATTATGCTTCCTTGGTCTAGTGAATATTCTTCTGTACCGATCTTCCGCCCAAGAGTTGCAATGTTTATTATCAAATTGAGTTAGTTGTAGCTTCATAGCAATTCGTATAATAGTTTCTGCACTGTTATTTCTTGTCTGGATTACACAAAATTGTGAAAATAAAACATGACTAAAGAAAATTTGTTACTTGTGTTGGTGAAAATTGTAACATTTGTATTTGCACATTAGGATCCTTTGCTCCAGAAACTCTTGATGATAAGTACTTATCAGCGGAAGAAAGGTAGATTTGATGCTCTTCATAGGCTTTTTTTCTACAATTTATAGTTTACTTTCTCCTTTCGAGAAGTAGATATGTACAAATTGACAATCTTATGCCTTCCTCCCAATCTGGAGGTTTAAAAATCACTTACTGCAGATTTTTCATGTACATGATGTTCCGATTCTAGATTTAAGAGCAAACATGGAGGATCTTCAACATTCATTCATCTCGTAGGGCCATCTTGAAGAAAATTTTCTGTGCACGTTTTATTTCTTGTGATCCAGAAGGTTTTTGTCATGATGATGGCACTATACAATTCCACTTTTAATCCTTCTATTCTGAGTGCTGAAATGACTTTAATGTAAATTACTTTTTGTTATGGTCGTTAGTGACACATATTTCATTTAATGAAGAATTAACAGTCCATTTCAGCATAAAAAGGAGAGTGACATTAGGAAAACGAGGATCTTATCATTCGTGTCAACCTTGTCAAATGAGAGAAATCTGCTAAAACTCTCAATTTGAGTCCACTTTTTTTTACCCAATGTCTTGTTACTTTCTGCTGCTATGCATCTCTTTTAATGCGAGAAAATTATCTTTCAGAACTCTTATTAAAGTGCTGCTGAAATACATGATATTCATTTGTTCAGAGTTGGCATTTGACTCATAATAGTGATATTCTTTGCCGCAGGGATGTTCTTCATCGGGAAAGAATATCATCTCTGCTAAAGCACCGACAAAAAAGAGCTGGTACAACAGTTTACAATAGAGCATCTTCGCTAGAAACGCTAGTTAGTACCCTTGTACCTTGTTTTTTTCTTGCATAGTATTTGTTACATTTAAGAATGCATTAGTTGTCACTGGGTTCCCGTTAATTGTTGCCTTAACTGGTTCTTGTACACAGGTTGGTAATCTGTACCTGACAAATGAAATCGCTTGGAAGAAGTCATGGGAAAACTGGGATTCTTAACTGGTTCTTCTACACAGCCGATTTTAGAGGAACAAGTAGCAAGTTAATTGCTGAGTCATGCTGTTTGTGGTGTCTCACTCGAATATGCAAAGTCGAGACGATTTGCATGATCGGTCGCTCAAAATAATAGATAGGCAAATGTAACATGCCATAGTTAAGTATGCATGGAATTTCAGAGAAGTTGTGGGTGGTATGTGCAGCAGAGATGGAAGGGAAGCTGGGATTTTAAGTGCTGTCACTCGAACTATTGCATGTTTAGTTTTAGGGCATTGGATGCCCTTGTAATTTGGTATTGTTAATTTTGGATATCATCAAAAATACCATTTGATAGTATTTCAAAACACGGGTAATTTCCTCTCTTTTTCCTTTAATTATGTGTTTTGAATCGTAAATTAGTGGTTGTTATGTTCCCGAAGGAAGTTGAGTGAATTGATAGCTCATCATCATTCCTCCAGTTTTGACCAACATCTCTAAGTCTTAACTTCAACTTTGATTCTACAAAGGGACATCCTTTGAATTCTCAAAATGCTACATTGTGTCAATCTGCTCGAATTTCTCTCTTACAGGTAAAACCTCTAGTTTTCACCAACATCTCTCAAGTCCTATGATAGGAACCCACTCCAATTACTCAACCATTTTGGGCTGAGCCATAGGTCTTCATGGGCTTGGGTAGAACTCTTCTTGAAAAACCAGTTTGCCAAAGGAGAGTGCCCAAGCCTTTAACCCATATGCCCACCATTTTCTTTCAATGTGGGATCCTAACATTCCACATGCTTTCGCAACCGACGTCCATGTTGGCCTCTTTTCCCCTTAGGTGACTACGCGGATCCCCTTTCCCTAGGGCCTTCTTGCCCTTTTCGGGGTAGCAGTCTGGGCCCAAGGTCAGCATGCCAACGTGCACTGTCATATAGGCGCAGAATCATGCTCTGATACCAAGATAGAACACTCTAATAACTCAACAATTTTGGGCTGAGCAATGAGTCTTTCAGGTTTAGATAGAACTCTCCTTGCAAAAAGGCTTGCCAAGGGAGGGGGTCCAGCCTTTATAACCCACATGCCCACCCTTTTCTCTTTCAATGTGGGATCCTAAAATCCTACCTTAATTTTTTTTGGAAAGAAGTGCTGAATATCCAGCACCATTGCAGTTTCAAGCAATTGTTATGTTTTGTCATTGGATCTGAATTGGACTAGGTAATCTGGCATAGGAATTCTAATATAATCTTGATCTGGACCATTTTCTATCTCTTTTTTGTATATTAGCATCACTTTCTACCAGAAAACCAAACCTTTCTCCATCGCCACATCCTAGATTCTTTTCATTTATTTTATGACATGAGGATACTATGTTAATGTAGCTGGTATTTGGAATGCTGTCATTTATGTTAATGTAGTTATTTTTGTGCTAGTTGCGTTATGTTGTGCAAGTGGTAATGCATTCACAACATATTGACCCATATTCTGTACTATGTTTCAGTGCTAACATTTATAATTATATGTGCATTGTTGACAGTTTTGCCTTTGTGATGTTCTTTGTCATGATAGATAAGAACAGTGAAAGTGAGCAATGTTTCATTAGGTGCATCTGAGCAAGATATAAAGGAGTTCTTTTCCTTTTCTGGGGAAACTGAACATGTTGAGATGCCAGGTTTGTTATATATGAAATCTAAGTTTTATTACCGTCCTTTATCTTTATTATTTTTGTGGGTTGCTTGAAAAAGGGAAATGTGAAATTTGAAATGATTAACTCTTTCGAGGGTATTTTGGACAAATTATATGGAAGAAAGAATACTAAGGTTCCCATATAATCTTATATTATTGATATATTTTTTCTTTCAGTGGCAATGAGGGGTCTAAAATTGCATATGTTG